CACAAGAAAGAGATAAGCCAGTTAGGGTGTAGCATAGCACCGATGAAACATACAACTTTCCTCCAGTTTTCTAATGCTACCCCTACCCCCCAACTATCATGACCCCAATTCTACCTTACAAATCCGGCTAGACCAGAGCATGTACACTGGTACAAATAAGAGCTTACAACACAGGGAATCCAGGACAGATAAACCCGAGGGCCAATAATGAGAGTAGTGATACCAGGAAGGTAAGGGGAAGGTGGTGGGAAAAGGGGAGATGGACAAGAGAAGGGAGACAGCAGTCAGTGTAAGACATGACCAAAAATAATGTATGTATAATCAAGGGTTCATGGGGGCGGGAGGGGGGAACATGAGCATCTGAAACAAAGGGCTCAAGCAGAAAAAAAATGTTTTGAAAATGATGATGGCTAAAAGTGTACAAATGTGCCTGACCCAATGGATGGATTATGATAAAAGCTATATGAGCCCCCAAGAAAATGATTTTTTTTTAAAATACTCCCAATATTAGAACTCCTGGGAGAAGGGACATACTTAAATTCACTGCCACTGAGTCGATTCCAACTCACAGTGGCATATTAGGGGTCTTCATCTATGGAAAAGTCCATTGGCTCTAATTCCAATATCCCATACACTGGAAGCCCCTCGTATATACTCTTTCAAATTCCTATGATGATTCTGAGTATTTTCTTTTCTTTTTTAATATTTAAAATTTTTTTAGTATTTCTGTTTCTAAAACTCCCTGTTCTAAAGTAACAAGAAGAGCGAAACATTTACATCATCTTTCTATGCATCAGAGTCCCTACGTAGTACAGTTAATATATTTTGCTTCTACATCTATTTCAAATGTTGAAAGTTCTAATCCACCCAGAAGCACCTCCAAAGAAAGGGGTGGCAATCTACTTTTGAAAAACCAGCCACTGAAAACAGTTCTACTTTGATCTACCTGGGGTCCCCATGAGTTCAGTCGACTCAGTGGAGACTGGTTTTTCTCTTCACATCAAGAGATGAACAGGGCCCAAATGTTGACTAAGAAAAAAATTTCTTATAAACATGCATAAAACCAATCATTAGGGTTTTTTTCTTTTAAAAACACTCTCTTCAATCTTATTTCCTTGGACAGTTAACAGGTACTAAACTTGGGCAGAACAGGTAATAACCCTTAATTTTATAATTAGCTTCACATCAATCAAATCTGAAGAATACAGTTCAGTACTTTTATCTGGTGAACTGCACACAGGAATAGCATTTCTCCCAAAGCCTCCAACAGAACCCATTTTCTTAAGAGTAAAATAACCAGGAATCTACTTAGGCAATTTTCTTCCAGTTCACTTCCTAAATTATCATTCTGTCTCCTCAACTATGCCCATTCATACTGAAGGCCAAATCCACAAGCTGAAAGAAAAGCCTCGAAAACATACTGCTCCCCACCCCCAGTTTTCCTCGTCTTTAAATTACCAGGAACAGTTTGTTAGAAAAAATGTAGGACTAAGAATAAAAATCTTAGTGTCAGGACTCCCCACTACAGTCTCCATCTGCATTCCAAAAAAAAATGTGACAGTAAGGGGGGAAGGGAACAAAAGGGGGACCCCATCAGAAGGTTGGATATATAGCTCCCCCAACCAGAGGAGGATGAATAACAGAAATGTGGGTGAAGGGAGACAACAGGCAGTGTAAGACACAAAATAATAATAAAAATTATATATATATGTGTTTTTTAATAATATATAATTGATAAGGATTCATAAGGGTGGGAGGGTGGATGAGAGAGAGGCAAAAAGAAGAGCTGATACCAAGGGCTCAAGTAGAAAGAAAATGTTTTGGAAATGTTAATGGCAACATATGTACAAGTGTGCTTAGTATAATTGAATGATGGATTGTTATAAAATTGTTTAAAAGCCCCCCCAATAAAATGATTAAAAAATAATTTGAAAAAAACCTCACTGCCATAGAGTCAATTCCAACTAATAATAAGCATTTCATAAGTTGATACATAAGCAATAAGTACCAAAAATCTAAGTTTCAAATTTTTATTTTACCAATTTGATATTGCTACCAGAATTCAGTGCTACCATCAGGACTGCACAAGACTGCATGTTAAAATCATCACTGCTCTAGAAACCAAGTCAGATAGAATTTAACCTAAAATTAAATGCAAAAGGGACACAGGGAAAAAGCTACAGTAAACAAACACTCCAGGGATGAGGTCCAGGTAGTATGGCAGGGGCCAGACCAAATCCAGGGGTACATATGGTAGCCAACAAAAAAGGGGGTGATGAGGAAGGAAAAGGGGGAGGGAAAAAAAGATGTGTGGTGGGGGAACAGGGCACTGACCCACCCAAGGGGAGGGTATTGTTTGTATCTCCACAGGGAAAGAGGGACCAGATTTAAAGCCAGTGCCAGATGAATGCAGCATGCAGGCAAGGAGTGGGGAGCCAATGGAAGGGCCTGAGGGCTTGGCCCCCAAACCAGCTAAGTGGACAACTGCCCATCCCCCCCGGAAGAATTTACTTGAGAGGACTGCACTGAAGCTGCAGCTAGGGGAGAGGGGCATGTCTGATCAAAGCACACGGGAGCAAATGAAGGGGGAGAAAGAGAGTGGAGCACATCCTGGCCCACCAGGCCTGGAGGATGATATCCCCACTCTGAAGAACCAATGCACAGAGTGGACAATATGGCTGATCCCACTACAAGACACGCCATCCCTTGATGGCCCAGGGCCATAAAGGGGACAATACTAGAGACTCAGTGTCGGGACTGGCCCAGACTGACCCTGTGATACCGAGGCAAACCACTAAAAGC